GGGGGGGGGGGGGGGGGGGGGGGGGGGGGGGGGGGGGGGGGGGGAAGCCAGACAAGAGGGGATGAGACGAGAGGGATAAGGCCGGACTTTGTGGTTCATGGCCCAAGGGCGATGCCGAAAAAGGTCGAGAAAGCCTGACCGGTCTCCATCCCTCCCCCGCCCCGCCCCCTGCCGGCCCCCGATGCCGACCCACACACCAAGCCTGAGAGGGTCGGCCGTTGCGCGCTAATTCACGCGCGAAGGCGCCCGTGCCCATGCGAGACCAGCTCCCCAGCCCCATCCATCGGCCAAGCCCGCCCACGGTCTAGGTGGCGGCTTTAGTGGATGCGCGAGGGTCCGCGGAAGAAACCGCCTGCCGCGGACCGAGGGCGCCAAAAAAAAAAGAAGAAAAAAAGGGCGCGCACAAGTCCCCACCAGGTGCCAGAGACATTTGCCGCGGTAGCTAGCGAGCGTGGGCATATGAGGGGACGTGATCCAAAAGCACCTTCACCATGAGCGGTAACACGTTCAGGTTGCCAGGAGGGCGTGATCTTGGCGTCGCGTGTGCCAGCGCATTTCCGGTCTGCTTGTGGCCTATATTTTTGTCCCGCGCGCGTGTACGTGTGCGTGTGTGTGTGCGCGTAGGCCTACACATGTGGGCTCGGGTGGTATTTTGAACAGGGAAGTGGAGGATACACTGAGAAGGCCCCGGCTGCTCGCATCGCCACTCACCGCCGGTGGTAGTGGTGAGGGATGCGATCGCCGGCAACCGCGGTCGCGGCCCCGAGAGGAGGCGTGTTGGCGGCCGCCGGGCCGTAGTAGGCGCCAGTGGCCGTTGTCGCGGCGGCGGCGGCGGCCGCCGCTGCCGCCGTGGGGATCATGCTCTTGAGTTGGCCGAAGGCCGATTTGTACTTGGAAATCTTCCCCTTTAGCCGGGCATTCTCCTCGAGAATGCGCTCCAGCTCGTCGGCCTGCGAACGAGCCTAGAACATGGCAGCGATGCGGAGAGGAGATGGCCAGAGAAGGAGGAGGAGGGGCGGAGGGAGGAGGCTGTCAGAGGATGAAGCAAGCAGGATGAACACAGCAGACGGATGCACGCACCTTCTGTGAAGGGACGACGACCTCCTCACGTGGCCCTGGGACATGGAGGTGAGTTGTCCATGCCACCGGACTCCCAGCAGGTAGGCTGGCATTTGCTGATGTGGCGGCGGTGGCGGTGGCGGCGGCGGCGGCGGCGTTGGCGCTGCTTGAGCTGGGAATTTGAGTGACAACCGCCGCCGGGGGCGTAAAGGGCCCGAAGCTCGCAGACCCCGCCGGCAGGTCAAGGCCCCCGGAAAGCACCGGCGCCGGGAGGAGCTGAGACACCCGCTCGCGCAGGAACTTGTTCTGGTGGGTCAACTCGGCCACCGCCGCTTGGAGGATGAGGGTTTTACGCAAGACGGTCGGCAGGTACTGTTGGACCTGCGCCGGAGACAGCTGGCTCAAATGCGCGCGCATTTGAGCCAAGTCCTCCGAGGAGACATCCATTCCAACGAGCCGGGCTCGGTCGCGCATCAAGCGAACCAGGCCCTGAAGGTACTGCACACTTTGCGCCGTGAGCCGGAAGAAAGACCGCAGGGCGATTACCACGCCGGAGGTGAGCTGTCCGCGGAAGGGGGCCAGCGCCGAGGCCAGAGCCTCCGTCCCGCCGGGCCAGCTCAAGCCATCCGGGCTCAGGGCCTCGACAATATGCCGAGCGAAGTCCGCCGGATTGCACACTGTCTGGACCACCTGCTCGGCAATCTGCGACATTGTCCCCTCCACGGCCTCGGCATCACCGAAGTCCAACAGCAAAAGCTGATCCTCCAGCGTCGATTCCACAGGAACCCCCACGGATGAGCCGCAGCCGGCACACGAACCAACACCAGCAGAGGCAGTGGCAGTCACCGGGGCAGGGGCCGAAGTCAAATGGGCAGCAGGGGCAAGGGAACTCGGGCGATTGGCCGGCGCATCGGCCGCCGGGAAGAGCCGGTCGAAGAGCGCGCGCGCGCGCTCCTCCACCGAGTCCATCTGCCAAGGGATCGCGGCCGGGGCTGATGCATGGCCGGCGGCGGCCGGCCCGCTGGAGGTGGGCAAGGGCCCCGTCGCCATCGTCGATCCGACAGCCGCACCCGCGGGCGTGGCCGCGGGCGTGGCCGCCGTGTGAACGCCTGGGCCAGATGCTCCGGCGAGGCCGCCAGCAAAGAGCCGCGCCAGGGCTGGGTCCACCTGACGCTGGACGCCGGCCGAGCGAAGCTCCGCCAAGACACCCTGCAGCGAGAGCCCCGACACCAGCAGGGCCTGCGGAGCAGCCAGCAGGACCAAGCCCCGAGCCGGGGTAGCGCCCCCGCGCCCGGGCCCGGACACCAATGCATCCAAATGCAACGACTGCAGGCAATCCGCCACCTCCGCGCATGATGCCGGGCGATCGTGCAGGGGAGTACGACCCCCCACAACACTGGGATCCCCACCGCTCCGGCCAACAGACCAATCCAGCAGACTGGTGGCAATCGACAGCAGGAAGAGCAGCAGCCCGGTCGAGGGGCCGGCCGTGGTGCCGGCGACCACCGGAGTGGCCTCCATCCCGGCCGGCGCCTCCAGGGCAGCCGGCCGCCGTGACCCCTGATGCAGCGCCAGGACCAGCTGAAATTGCGCCTCCTTCAGCTTGTCCGACACTTGAGCCAGCTCACGATCGACCTCTCGCAGCCGGGCCAGCTCCTCGGACTGTTGCTGATTCTGCTGACGCAAATGACTCAATTCCAGGCGCTGGAGCTGGCTGGTTTGCTCGGCGGCCGCCTGATTGGCCGCCTGGCCCGAGCGTTGCTGCACCAGGCTCGACAGGAGCTGCCCCATGCGAGCATGCTTGTCCTGCAGGGAGGCCATCTCGGCAGCCAGGCTGCGCGACCGGGCCGTCACTTCCTCGGCCTTGGTGGTGGCCAAGTCGGCGCAGGTGGTCAATTCGCGCTTTTGATCTTCCAGCAAGTGCACCTGCCCGAAGAGGGCCTGCTGTTCACGCTGCATCCCGGCATGGAGATGCCGGAGTTGGACCAAATCCTCCTGGAGCTGCTCGTTGCGCTGGCGAAGTTGCGCCATCTCGGCCAGGGCGGCATCGCGCGCACGCGCCGCCTCCTGATGGTTTGCGGCCGCATCGCGCGCCAACCGCAGGGCACCCTCCAGCCGGTGGCCAGACAGTAGCAGCCCTTGGATTTGGGCCTCCCGACGGGCCAGCTGCTGCCGGGCCCCACCGAGAGCCTCCCGCAGCAGGGACAATTCCCCGGCGAAGTTGTCTCGCAAAAGTTGCACCACCGGCCGGTCGGCCTCCCGGGCCAGGGCCATGCGTTCGAGGTCCGCCTGTGTTCCGCGCAAAAGTTGCCCCTGCTGTGTGAGGCTCGCTTCCAGCTGCCGAATTCGAGCATCCTGCCGATCCAGGGTGAACTGTTGGAGTTGATTTTGCAGGCGCAGCTCGGTCAATGCCTCGCTGGCTTGCTCATCCAGGGCCACTTGCCGCTGGGCGATCTCCAACTCCTGGGCCTGGGCTGCCTGTGCTCGACGGTGTTCGGCCGCCAGACGCCGCTCCAGGCATGCTACCTTGCTTGTCAGCGCGTCGGCCAGATCTCGGTGTAGCCGTGCTGCCCGGGCCACCGGATCGTTGGTGCCCACGGAGAAGTCGACGGTCGGGCGCAAGCCTGCCACATTCACGGGTCCGGCCTGCTCAAGCAGGCTGGTGGCGAAGCCCGGCAGGGCTGCCAAACTCCCACGCAGCAGGGAAATCTGAGCATCGGCCCGGCGTTCCACATCGTCCGGCACATTGGCCGCCGGGACCGGCGCCTCCGACCGAAGTCCAGAGGCCATGGATGCACGTGCTGGCCGAGTGCCAGCCCCACCCGGGGGGATGGAATCTCCCGGGCCAGCTCGGCCATCAAAGCGCAATGCCGGCTGGGTGACATGGATGAAGGCATCCTCCGTCGGCATCGGGCCAAAGGACCCGCCAGCCGAGTAGGCCGAGGCCCCGAAGGAAGCGCCAAGGGGCGGGACAATGGGCGCGGCTCCGGACAGCCGCGTCCAGCCGGGCCAGTCGCCGGTCATGTCCAGCAGGAGACCGGCATCGGTCTGGCCGGTGGGCATCGGGACGTTGTTGGTGGTGGCGGTGGTGGCGGTGGTGGCCCCGGGGCCGGTGGTGCCCGGGCCCGGAGCCGGTCCGAAGGAGTCCACTTCGGCTATGGAAAAGAGGCCACTGCTCCCGGGCGGGATCGACATCAGCAGGGGGTTGGATTCCGAGCCGAGTCGACCGAAATCCGACGAGGGGGCACCTGGCGCCGTTGGGCCTGGTGGCAGGTGTGACAAGAGTGACTGCCCAAGTCCAAGCGAAGGGTGCACGGCTTCGGCCTTGGTGGCTGGAGTCGCCGTCGCGGCACCGAAAGGGCCGCCGGCTGGGGTGACAGCCGCTGCCCCGGGCCGCGAAAGGCCCGGGTCCACATCCAGCAGCGAGTGAATTCCGGTGCCCGAGGCGGTGGCCAGGGGGTCGGCCCCCATGGGCGAGCCCATGACCGAGGAGGTGGCGCTCGCGAAGTGCGACGAGAAGGCACTGGTGCTCGCGGTGGAGGGATCTGCCGTTGAGGGCCCGCTGGTCGAGGGGACCGACCCGAAGCCCGGGTCGGTGGCGCGAATGGAGTTGCGGATTTCGTTCAGTCGCGCGGCGAAGTCCTGTGTCAGGGGCGGGGGGCAGGGAGCGGGGGTCAGATTCTTGGGAAGAGGGCAGCAGAAAGGCAGGAGCACTACATGAGGGACCACGCACAGAGGCTCCAGACGGGGGGGGATGTTCCGGGATATTCAGCCGGAAGTAGTCCCCATTGAGGAGGTGTGGCTGAGCCGGCCGCGTGGACTGGGCCGATGAGGCTGAACCCGGCCCGGCGCCCAGCGGGTGTGAGTGGGGCAGCGAGTCGGCGCCCATTGTCCCGGAGGCTTGTCCGGAGACGTTCAGATCATCAAAGATCGATGTAACCACAGCAACATCGCTCGGGCTGCTGCCGTTTCGGGCCCCGGTGCTGGGATTGGCGCTTGTACTTCCGCCACCGCCACTCCGGGGTGCAGCTGTGGCCGGCCCGGCCAGCGGGTACCCCCGGGGCAAACCACCGAGCAGCGACGTCAGCGGGGTCCCCTGGTCGAAGAGCCGCGAGGACATGCGGCGGACTTGCAGCCGCGAGGGCTGTCAGGAGGAGGCGGAGGAGGCGGAGGAGGCGGAGGAAGCGGAGAAAGCGGAGGAGGGGGGGAATTGGCAGGAGACAAGAAGACCAGAGTGGCTGAGAGGGGGAGGGCAGAAACGGCGAGCCGAAGGGAAAGGAGATGGACGAATAGATGGGAGCAGAGGGGGCGATAGGGAGAGGGGCGGGGGGGGGGGGGGGGGGAGGAAAAGAGAGGCACGCGCGCGAGAGGGCTGGTGGCAATGTGGAGGAGAGGACCGCTGAGGAGGGCGGAGGAGGGGCTGCTGGATGCGGGCGGTGGCGCGCCCCAGTGCGGGGGCTCCTGGCTCTTCTCGCGGCCCGGCACCCGCCTGGATGCCTCCGAAGTAACGGGCGAAGGGCCGATCTGCCTGCGGGGACCACCCCACTCCTCGTCTGCCACCTTCCCCCCTGGTGTGTTGATTGCCAAAGCTTGCATGCACACCATGACAAGCGAAAATGTGGATCTCCCGACAGAGAAAACCGGTGTATGTGAAAACTGGTTCGGGTACGGGCCAGGAGGGGGGGGGGGGGGGACACAGGCATGGGTCCGTTGGCCGGCAGAGTCGGCACTCCCCCGCACGCCGGCCACAAACACGGCCCGCGAACCGATGGAACCGGGGGAGCAAGCGCGGGCGGAAAAACGGGTGCTGGCGAATTTGTATTCGGGAACGTGACGTGTCAGCTGAGTGTCGCGTGACTCGCGGAATGGCGCGTTGTGGGCCGTAAAACGCTCTGGCTGGTCCATATTGACCCACAACTGTGACCCCTCCCCCCGGGGGCCCATGCCCTGGGTCCTGGGGGTTGATTAGTGCCGGCTGGAGCGCGCGCCGGACGAGACACGCATGCCCACATGCGTGCCAGTGCCGGGCTTCGTGACGCGTTACCCACCGGTCCTGCGACCGTAGTGCCGGAGGCCGGTCACCCGCTGGCTGCCATCCGCCATGTCGGCGCTTCGGCACACCCGACCCAGGCCCAAGCCGTCGTTGGTCCGCCTCCCGGTGAGACGGCGCCCTGGGCACGCCGGGGGGGGGGGGGGGTGTTGGGCGGGTGTTGGGGGGGGGAAGGAGGGCAGAGGAGGCTGCCGCTGGAGGATGCCGCGTGGTCGACGTAGATTGCTGTATCCCGGCGGCGGGGGGCGATCGGTCGGGCCGAGGCGAGCCCCCGCCGAGCCGCGGCCGGCAAGTAGACACGACCGATGGCCGGTCGGTGTCGGCCGGCAGAGGTGGAAATCTTCCCCCCTGGTCCGAACGAAGCAGCGCCAGCGTGTGCGCCGCGGCCTGTGGCGCTCGTCGCGCGCCTTCCCGCCCCTCGGCACTGAGGCCCTGTGTCGATCGGGCTTTATCCAAAAGAAACCGCATCTCGGAACTCGAGCCCCCCGAGGCTCCGGCATCGGCTTCCCTCTTTCCCACTCGTCGCACGAACACGTATCCTGACCCGGGCCTTTTGCGCGCCTTTTCTCCTGCCTGTGCTAGCCCCACGCTGTCCATTTCACTGGGACCTGCCCCCGGTGCTTTCTCTCGCCACGCTAACTCCCTCTTGATCGCCCTTTCGGCTTCCCCCTCACTTGCCGGTCGGCCTCCAGGAAAGACCATTCACGGAGAAGCGCAAAGATGTCGGCCCCCTCCCGTAACATGGGCTCCAAGCTCCCTCTCTTGATGACCACGGTGGCCGCGGCCGGCCTGGCCGGCGTCGGCCTGGCCGTGTGGAACACCCCGAAGAAGTACCCGGCAGTCTTCAACCGCAGCGGCTCCGCACACCACCATGCGCACCACCACGCCTACCAGCCGGCCACCATGGACACATACATGAATTACCACCCGGCGTCGATGGCCAACCAGCATGCCCTGCCGATGCAGCCGGGCCACTCGCCCGCCCTGGCCACCCAGCAGCAGCAACAGCGCCCGGCCATGATGACCCCCCAGGCCATGCCGGCCCAGGCTCGGCCCGCTCCCGCCGGGGCGTACGCCCAACAGGCCACCCCCGGCCCGAGTGCGACCCCCATGCCGGCCCAGACCCGGGGCTACCCGGCGCATGTGCGCGAGGGCATCGAGAGCGGCATGCGCTCTTCCGCGACGGCGGCGGCGGCGGCAACCGGCTCCGGAGTGCAGTATGTCCCTTCGTACTATTCCGAGTCGGCTGCCCCCATGCAGGCCGCCGGTCCGGGAGCCGCCATGCGTCGGATGGAGAACTCCAACCAGCTGCCAAACACCCTGGGCTCGCTGGACTGCGCCAGCCAGCCCATCCAGAATGTGGCCGAGCCTGTGTACGCACACCCTCGGTCAAAGTCGCCCCCCCCCCTCTCTCCCCCCTCCCCCTCGCTTGGGGCCCTCTCTCTTGATGGCCCTTTTTCCGGGGCCCCTTTTTCTTGCCCATCCCTGGGCTCACCCTGCCGCCGGTGTTGCGCCCGGTCATGTTCGCTGCTGCCTCCGCCTTTCGGGCTCCCGCGCACCAGCGAGCCCCCCCCCCCCGCTCGCCCTCATGTCACTGACCCCAGCCGACCCCCGACATGCTCCAGGGACAACTTCGCCCCCCAGGACTCCCTGGTCCATGTCCAAGCGGATGGCCGTCCGGGCTCGGTCCCGGCCACCTACGAAGCCTGGAGCAAGGGCCAGCCCGAGGAGCCCGGCTACCGTGGCTACCTGAACCGCGCGGCCGAGCGGGCCGCCGACGACGCCCAGGTGGGCTACCCGACCGAGGGCAGCCTGACAGCCGCCTTTCGCCGCGCCGGGGACGCCATCAAGTCCACCTTCTCCGAGACCATCGAGGCGCCAACCTACTTCCGGGACTTCTTCACGGGCGAGGACGCCGCCCAGCAGGTGGTCCCCACCGGGGCCCCGGTGTCCCGGTGGGCCGGCTTCAAGGACCGGCTGGCGCATTTGCGCGATGACCGGCCCAGCAGCCGGCCCGGCATGCTGGAGGCCCTGAGCGCCGAGGCCAACCAGGCCGCCGACCGGGCCTACGCCGACTGGCACCACGCCAAGGGCCGGCTGCTTGAGGAGCTCGGCCGGCTGGAGACCAAGCTTTCCGGCATCTCCGACCGCTTGGTGACCCTCGGCTCGTCGACGTCCACCATGAATGAGAGCACCCTGCCCACGTCCCGGCGCCTGGAGGCCGAGTTGCGCGAGGACATCAAGCGCATGAAGGCCAGCATCGATGAGGCCGCTCGCCAGGCCGGGCAGAACATCGCCCGCATCGGGACCGGCGGCAGCCTTGAGGCTCGCCGGGCGGAGGCCCGCCTGCAGGAGGAGATCCGCCGCAGCTCGGCCGCCCTGCAGGGGGAGCTCGACAGCATGGGAAAGAGCTGGCTGTCGCATGTCCAGCGGGACTTGGACACCCTGCGCAAGGCGGCCGACCAGCGGTCCCTGGCCGAGGCGGCCCGCCGGGCGGAGGATCGTGCCCACTTGGGCACCGCACAGGCGGCCGAGGCCATGCAGGAGACGGCTCGCGCCGCGCGGGCCTCCGTCAGCACCGCCATGGACCGGGCCTCTTCCGGCATTGACCGGGCCGCGAGCAAGGCCGCCGACACGGCCGAGAGCCTGGTGCGCTCCGGCCGCCAGGCGGTGGAGGAGGTCCAGACGGCTGCCGCCGGCATGGTCGCCGGGGCCGCCGGCGGCGTGGCCACGGCCGCCAATGCCGTGGCGGAGGCCGCCTCCAAGACCGCCGCCGCGGTGGCCCCGGCCCCGGCCCCGGCCCCGAGCCTGTGGGAACGCATCATCGGCAGTGCCCCGGAGCCGCGCAGCGTCCGGGACCCGGAGCATGAGGCCCAGCATGCCCGGGCCGAGGCCGAGGCCGCGCTGCGTCGCCAGGCCACCGAGCACAAGCACCAGGCGCAGGCCATCTCGGCCGAGGCCAAGGCCGCTCAGATCAACGAGCACCATGCCCTGGAGGCCATGGAGGAGGCGCGGCGCCTGCAGCAGCAGTCCCACGAGCTGGCGGCCGGCCATCACCACGCCCCCGCCGGCGGCCCGGTTCACATGCCCCCCTCGGGCGGCATGGCCTCGACGGCGGTCTACCAGCCGCTGTCGGCCAGCCCCAGCCCGGGGATGATGCCAGTGGCCCCGGTGTCCCCCGGCCGGGCACACACCGCCGAGGAGGCCCGCCAGGCGGTCGAGCGCCAGCGTGCCCTGGATCTGGCAGCCGACGAGAAGGAGCGCACTTTGCGCGAGAGCCTGGCCGAGGCCGGCCACCAGCAGACCCTCGCGCGCCAGGCACAGCGCTCGCAGAATGAGGCCTTCCGCCAGACGCTGGAGTATGACCTGTCGCCGAAGGAGGCCGATCGCCTGCGCGAATCGGTCAGCAAGGCCGAGCGCGAGGCCACTGTGGCCCGGGAAAAGTACATGGCCGCCCTGGATCGCGAGAAGCGCGAGCAGGCCCGCTGGTCGGAGGCCACCCGGCGCCGGGCCATCCAGGAACGCGAGGCCATCCAAGCGGCCGAGGCGGCGGCCCTGGCCAAGAACCGCGGCCAGGCGGCCGCCCTCGCCGCCGCGCAGACCGCCGCCACCTGGCAGAAGCTCGAGCAGGAGGCCCTGATCTCCGAGTCGAAGGCCCTGGAAGCGGCGCGTATCCTGTCGGAGGCCAAGGACGCGGCCCTGCGTCGGGCCCGTGCCGAGCATGATTTGGCCCAGGTCCGTCAGCAGGCGGTTCGCGAGGCGGCCCAGCGCGAGGCCGAGGCCAAGCGCCTGGCCAGCGCCATTTCCGAGGTGAAGGGCGATGCCCTGCGCCGGCTGAGCAGCTCGGAGAAGGCCCTGGCCAGCGAGCTGTCCAAGCACCAGACCGAGTACGAGCGCACCCTCAAGCAGCTGGAGGCCCAGAAGCGCGCCAATGAGGAGGCCCTGCTCCGCGAGCGTGAGGCCCTCGAATCGGGCAAGCGTCAGGCCGCCGCTCGAGCCACCTCCCAGCAGGAGATCGCCCGGCTGGAGCGGGCCGCCGCGGACATCCGCCAGCGCGAGGACCTCACCCGCCAGCAGATGGCCCTCACGGCTCGGCAGCGCAAGGACCTCCTGGATGAGGCGGCCTCGCGCGAGGCTCGCGCCTTGAAGACCGCCGAGATGGAGCACGCCACCCGGGTGGAGCTGGTCCGCCAATCGGAGGAGGTGGAGGCGCGCGTGCGCCAGAACGAACTGCGTGACGCCCAGGAGCGCGCTCGCCTGGAGGAGCAGGCCCGCATTGCTCGGGCCGAGGCGGAGGAGAAGAATCGCGCCCTGCGCCGGGCCACCGACGCCGCCCCGACCATGGTCGGCACCGGCTCCACCGTGGCCGCCGCCCCGATCGGGCCCACCACCGTGGCCGAGAAGCCCAAGCGCTGGAGCCTCTTCAAGTGGCGCAAGGAGGACCCCCCGGCCGCCGAGGTGATCGCTGCCCCGATGCCGGGGGTGGCCGTGCCGCCGCTGGCCAAGACCGCCGGCGCTTCATCGGTCGTCGCCCCGGCCACTGGCATTGCCACCGCCACCACCGCCGGCGCCGGCGCCGCCGCCGCCGCCAAGAAGACCACCACCGATGAGCAAATCGCCGCGGCCGTGAAAGCGGTCGAGACCCAGGCCCGGCGCTTTGACACTCGCCGTGTGTGCTCGCAGCTCCCGGGCGGCGTGACGCAATGCCTCCTGCTGGAGGAGACGCCCGGCCGGCCGGTTGGCACGGGCTCCCGGTGCCTGGGCGTGGAATACGTCATCAAGGAGGACACCTTCGCCCGGCTGCCGCTCGGCGAAAAGGTGCGGGCTCGTGGACACTCGCAAGTAAGGCAGGGGGGGGGGGGAGAGAGAGTTGCTTTAGTGTGCCGCGCCACAGGGGGGTTGGGAGAATTGGTGGATTGTCCACAGGCGGGCGACAATGCGGGCGGTCTGAAGAAGGGGCTGTGTGATGAAGACCCGTGCGCCGAGGGCGGCAATTCGGCCAGGCAACAAAAGAGAGAGGGGCGCTTGCTGACATATCCTCCTGGCCACTCGCTCCTTGCCTCTTGGTGGGGTGACAACCTCACCTGCGGCGCGGGACGGACCAACACCCCCCCCCCCCCCCCCCCCCCCCGCACCCCGCCTGCTCCTCAGAACCTGTGGCAGCGCCGCGCTGATGGCACCTTCGCAAAGACCATTGGAACGTGGCCGGTGCACTCGGACGCCTACACCAACGGAGATGCCTTGGCTCATAATGTCCCGCTCGGCATGCCCCAGATGCTGCAAATGACCGCCCACAAGGCGGACTCGGCCACGGTCAAGACGATGCCCGCGCCCAGCCACGAGCCCCTGTACTCCGGCGGCAACACGCGCCTCGGCAAGCACTCAGACATTGCGGGTGATGCGTGGGCCGGCGGCGCCGCCCACAGCGGCGGAATGGGCACCCCGGAGGGCGGCGCCCGGACCATGTGAGAGAAGCCCGGCCGCTCGCGCGTCCAGCCACAGTCTCCCCCGGCCAAGCACCGACCGGCCTCCACGAACCCGGCCCGGCTCGCGCCCCACCCGGCCCGCGCCACCCCCGAGCCTAAGCATCCATTGAAAGGGATGGGGGGTGGGTGGTGCGAGAGGGGAAAAAGTAGGCAGGCCAAAAGTCGGGCTGACTGGCGGCCGTGCCTCTTCACGGAAGAGGCGGCCCCCCTGAGCAAATATGAGGGCTTTTTTATGCATGTAAGAGAACAAGCGAGAGTCCGAGGGCAAGTGAGCAAAAAAAAACACGACAAGCACAAGATCGAGGAGTATATGGGCGTCTTTTGCCCGGCGGGGGGGGGGGGGGGAGGCTCTCGTGAAGTGAGCAGAGGACACAGGTCCCGTGGAGGACGCCACTCTCGAGTGGCTAGGCCCCTGGCTCTCCCCGCACACGCGACCCGCCTCTCCTTTTGCCCTCGGTGGATGGTGGCTGTTGGGCCAGAATTGGCGCCTATCACCCCGAGAAGAATGCCAAGTTGATGCCGTGTGCCTCCTTCGGGGGGGGGGGGGGGGGCGTGCGCCCCCTCGGGGGTTGGAATACACCTACACCATGTCTCAACAGCCAAGACGCTCCTCGGGGGAGGGGGCTAGACGGGGACCGGCCCATGCTCTGGCAGACACAGGAAGGGGGGACATCGGGAAAGGCATGTGCGCTGGGAAGGGGAAGGAGCTGATAGATTTATATGATACAGGCACTGGGCTTCAAAGTGTGGCTGCGTGGTGGCGCACACACAGACCACCGAAGAGGACAGAGGGTATGGCTGGAGCAGAGGCCGAAGGGGCGACAAAGACGGGGAGGCAGAGAGAGAGAGAGAGAGAGAGAAAGGAGGGAAGAAGAGCAGTGTGGCCAACATGTGGGCAAGTTGCTTCTGTTTCCGGTGATCTTGTCACCCCTCTTCTCCGTGGCTCGTTATCTTTTCTTTTTTTCTTTTTTCATTAAACGGCACGTGTCACGCTTGGAGACGTTGCCGACGTCAGGTAACAACAAGGGCAAGAAGAAGGAGGGGGAGGGGCAGGGGGGGGGGGGGGGGGGCGGGGGGGGGGGGGGGGGGGGGGGGAGAGCGCGCGGGAGCGGATGCACACGCACAGCTTTATGCCAGACAACCCCTCAGTCGCCCGATCCGTCCTCA